ATTCCCCCAAGAAAGCTGGGCCTGTGGGGCGCTGCGCCCGCCCGCAGCGCTGGAAACCCCAAGGGACCTGGCCCGCGCGCCCGCCCGCTCCCAGTCCACCCCTAGTCCTATCCTCCAGCACCTCCGGCCTCCTTTACTTATTTGATGTACTGCTAGGCAGACGCCCAGAGACCACTGCGTCGGACCCCGTTCCATAGGCAGGGAAACTGAGGCCCAGGGACCGGAAGGACTTGTCCAGGGTCTTCAGTTTAGACAAGTCTTCAAACCGACTGCGCTCCCCTCTGAGAGTACGGAAGAATTTTCAACAGGGTCGTGAAGGCAGGTAGTTTGAAGGCAGGGGCCAGAAGACTTTCTGCAGCGACTGAGTGAGACTCCAACTCCAAAAAGAAAACAAGCAAGAAAAGAAAGAAAGAAAAAACTGTCTGTAAAGGCCTAAATACTTTCGCGATCTCTGACGCAACTATTCAAACCCGAGCGTCCTAGCTCAATAAGCATACCAGTGTCCTAATAAAACGTTATTTATGGACACTGAAATTTGGATTTCATACAGTTTTCACGTGCCGCGAAATAGTTTTTTGACGTTTTCCCAACCATTTAAAAATGTTAAAATCATTCTTAGCAGTGGGCTGAACAAAAACACGCGATGGGCAGCCAATTTTGGTCTCAAGGTGCCTGTCCTCTGTTTTAAGGAATTCATTTTCCAGATTTTGAACTTCCTAAAAAATCTGGTCTGAGAACTGGTCTGCAAGTTTATCTCCATTCTCGGGTCAGCTTCCACCCTTTATAAAAGAAAGTTGTGTGTCCTTCACACCACATATCTTCCTAACAGTGCTGGGAGATGGGGGTGGGGTAGGCATGCTGAGATAGTAAAATTCACTGGGCCTCCAAGCACGGTCACCATTAGAATTATTGAGGCAAAGGGGAGGCATGCTTCTATCAATCGAAGTTCAAAATGTGCCTAGCCCTATCTTTCTTTGACTTATACATAAATCTTTTTCTTTTTTTTATTTTTGTGTTGGAGTCTCACTCTGTCACCCAGGCTGGAGGACAGTGGCACGCTCATGGCCATCCCAGCCTCTACCTGCTGGGCTCTGGCAATCCTTCCACCTCAGCCTTCCAAGTAACCAAACTACAGGCGCGCACTACCATACCCAGCTAATTTTTTATTTATTGTAGAGACGAGGGCTTGCCAATTTGCCCAGGCTGGTCTCGAACCCTCAGGCTCAGGCAATCCACTCACCTGGGCCTCCCCAAAGTGCTGGGATTACAGACTGAGCCACCAAGCCTGGCCATACATCTTTCTAAGGGTGTGACATGGCTTTAGAATTAGGGTATTTGGGCCTCTGTTGCATATCATGAATTCATACACTTTGTGGAGTGAAGAGTTGAGAGTGACTTCCCCTCTTTCACGCCTTGATTACTATCAAAGAATAAGTCTCTTGAGGCAGAGAGTCTTGACAGTAAAGCAAGCTTCAAAAACTGACCATATTTTTCTCACAGATTTAAAGGTAAGCAATTATTTTCAGTGATTCTTAATAGGCTTTGCTAGGATTTGGAAAGAAACGGAGAATATGAGTGAATCTCATGCCAGAGTAAGAAACCCTTTTGCAAGTCAAGTGGTTTGCAATCTTTGCTTTCCACAGAATCAAAGGAGGGCCAAATTTAGTTGTCAGTAGAGAGATCGTTAAAAATAATTTTTGATGATAGATCACTGTGTGATCTTAGTTATCTGTCATCACATTGCTATAGCCAAACTCCTTCGGTTCCTACCAACTTCTTTACGTGAAGGTTTCCATCACTTATAACCAGTGATGTGCTGGTAAATGTTTGACAATGGGCTGGGAGATGCAGGGAGTGCAATTTGTACCATTTGCCAGTTACTATGGTGTAAATACTCCCACCATGGTTGATTTCTTTCTTTCTTTCTTTTTTTTAATCAATTCTCACTCTGTCACCCAGGCTGGAGTGTATAGTGTCATGTTCACAGCCACTGCAACCTCAACCTGCTGGGCTCAGTTATCCTTCTGCCTAAGCTTTCCAAGTGTCTGGAACTACAGGCATGCACCACCACGTCCAAGTAATTTTTTGATTTTTAATAGTAATGAGGTCTCACCAAGTTTCTCAGGCTGGTCCCAAATCAGGCAATCCTAGGCTCAGGAAATCCTCTTGCCTCCAATTCCCAAAGTGCTGGGATTACAGACATAAGCCACCACATCTGGCCACCATGGCTGATTTCAAGCTGCCAATGAGATGTCACTAAACATGGAGTTGGGAGGAGATGAGGAATATTTCTACCACACAGATATAATAGGCATAAATAATATTAATAAAATATTTTTAATGTAGTGAGATAATTAGGAAGTTATGAGTTTTGAGTACTTCTTTTGTTTTTAATATAATTTATTTAATTATACATTTATATAATTTGATTTTTTGTAATAGTTATGTTTCACAATCAACTCACAAAATTCCTAAAAATCGACTTGTGAATCAAGAAAAGCTGGTTTGACACACCACTTGACAGTTATAAAAAAATTAAAAATAGAAACAAAATTATTCCTAAAACTTATTTCATTCTAACCCAAGCATTATTCATCCAGGTTGAAGTGAACTGCAGAGAAAAAATTGCTCCATTCACCTCATTAAGATGGGAATTTCTAACACAATTTTACTTTTTCTGTTTAATAATTATTTGTCAAGGTTTATAGGACTGATTTCACAAGCACATACTTATATCAAATTATATATTTTAAATATGTGTAGTTTATTTTATGTCATTCTACTTCAACAAAGCTATGTATGTTTGTATTTGAGTCAGGATCTCACTTTTTGACCAGGCTAGAGTGCAGTGGTATGATCATAGCTCACCACAGCCTCCAACTCCTGGGTTCAAGCAATCCTCCTGTATCAGCTACAGGACTACAGGCATGCACCACCACAGCTGACTAATTTTTTGTGGGTTTTTTTTTGGTAGAGATGAGGTGTCACTATGTTGCTCAGGCTGGTCTGGAACTCCTGGGCTCAAGCGATCCTCTGTCCTCAGCCTTCCAAAGCGCTAAGATTACAAACATGAGCCACTGCACCCAGCCAATTAATCCCACACCTTTGGGAGGCTGAGGTGAGTGGATTGCCTGAGCCCGCGGGTTCGAGACCCTCCTGGGCAGCGAGACGTCATCTCTACAATAAATCAAAAAATCAGCCGGGCGTGGTAGCGCATGCCTGTAATTCCGGCTACTTGGAAGGCTGAGGCAGAAGGATCGCCGGAGCCCAGCAGGTCGAGGCTGCGGTGGCCGGGAGCGGCCACTGCACTCCAGTCTGGGCGACAGAGTGAGACTCTAACTCAAAAAATAAATAAATAAATTGTTGTTGGACTATTTTATTTTATTTAATTTTTTGAATTGGAGTCTCACTCTGTCTCCCAGGCTGGAGTACAGTGGCACGCTCACGGCCATCACAGCCTTGATCCGCTGGGCTCAGGTGATCCCTCCGCCTCAGTCTTCCAAGTAGCTGAAATTACAGGCACGCACCAACATGCCTGGCTAATATTTTGATTTCTTGTAGAGATGAGGTCTCACCAAGTTTCCCAGGCTGATCTCAAACCCGTCGTCTCAGGCAATCCTCTCACCTCGGCCTGTCAAAGTGCCGGGGTTATAGGTGTGAACCACCGCACCTGGCTATATTGTTTGATTTCAATCGTACAAAACAATGTAAATATATTACAATTTTTAAAAGTCCAGGGACAGGCATGGTGGCTCATTCCTATAATCCCAGCACTTTGGGAGGCCAAGGTGAGAGGATTGTCTGAGCCCACGAGTTCGAGACCAGCCTGGGCAACTTGGCGAGACCTCATCTCTACAAGAAATCAAAAAATTAGCCAGGCATGGTGGCACATGGCTGTAGTTCTAGCTACTTGGAATACTGAAGCAGAAGGATCACCTGAGCCCAGTAGCTCAGTGCTGCGGTGGCTGTCAGTGTGTCACTGCACTCCAGCCTGGGTGATGGAGTGAGACTCCAACTAAAAAAAAAAAAAAGAAATCGAACAATAATTGTAATAATATTCCTTCTCCACTTCCAATGCTTTACTATATTAGCCTTTAAAAATAATAGTTGCTGGGCACGGCGGATCACGCCTGTAATCACAGCATTTTGGGAGGCAGAGGAGAGAGGATTGCCTGAGCCCAGGGGTTTGAGACCAGTCTGGACAACTTGGCGAGATCTCGTCTCTACAATAAATCAAAATATTAGCCAGGTGTGGTGGTGCACGCCTATGGTTCCAGCTACTTGGTAGGCTGAGGTGGAAGGATTGCCTGAGCCCAGCAGGTGGAGGCTGCAGTGGCCATGAGCATGCCACTGCATTCCAGCCTGGGCGACAGAGTGAGACCCCCCCAACTAAAAAAAAAAAAAGTAAAATAATAATTCAACTTACACTTATATTGTTAAGCAGAGAAATATGATAGAGTCAGCAATAAGCCTCTTAAGCATAAAAAACACATCATGATAAAATTTTGTGGTAGAACATGGAGTGGAAATTTCCGTTCAAGTAGAAAAAGAAATGATGCAAAATTTCTGACTCTTAGAAGAGTCTGTTCATGTATTTTTTAAATGGATGGTTGTGAGTATCAAATTGCTAGGGCATTTAATTTAACTGGATACACTTAAAAGAGAGATGTAACCATTTTAAGTGTATGAATTTATAATATGCCAGAAATTACAACCATTGTAACTATTTAAACTTTAAAGGAAAAATGTTAGCTATCAACTAAAAAATGTGCCAGGGAGTACATAGTTTTAAAATAACCATTTAGAGCATACACTAGCAGAAAAAGACTGAAAACAGCAACTTTAGACTGTTAGTAGAAGGTCTCTAAAACTATCCTAACCCTCTGGAATTAAGGAATTAATTCCTCCTTCTCCAAATTCTGAAAATC